ACAAGCGAAGTTCGGTGGATGCACCGAGAATATTTTGTCACGCGCGCACGCGTGTGTGTGTGCGTGTGTGTGTTTAGATGTTAGAAGAGTGTGCGAAGTTTCAATAGAAATGTTCATCCTTAGTTTGAGTATGTCTAAGCACACGTACGTTTGAAGAGTCACAATGTAATATGCTTGAACTTGGCCTATCAGATCTTGGAACTGTGTCTGACTTTTACCTTGAAAACTAACCTCTGCTTAGTGAAAATTATCGTAGTGATCGACTGCGGCGAGATCTGTCCAGGCGGGTACAAGTATTACCACCACTGCAGCATCAATTCCGACTATTGATTGACATGTGTGGTCTAACGTCCCAAAACCACCCTATGATTATGAGATACGCCGTAGTGGAGGGCTCCGGAAATTTCGACCTCCTGGGGTTCTTTAATGTGCACCCAAATCTGAGCACACGGGCCTACAAGATTTTCGCCTCTATCGAAAATGCAGCCGCCGCAGCCGGGATTCGATCCCGCTACTTGCGGGTCAACAGCCGAGTACCACCGCAGCGGGGCATTAATCCCGTTGCAGACGAAAGTGTGAAAATGTGGAAGGGTAAGCTCCAACCATCTCCCTCTCCCCCCACCCGGGCCCACCACCTTGGCGCCGCCCCTCTGAACATGTAGCCGCGCCTGCCGAAGTATCAGCTGAGTGGCTGTTGTTTTCCACCAGTTCTTTCGCAGATCGTGTCTTCGGCTGTTCGGGTACAGTGTTCTTGCAATCAACAGCGCTGCCAACGTACGAATTAGGTAAAAAATACACGCCTCGCGATGCACAGAGTCCTCACAATATTGTTCCGACAATGTCTGTCATGTTATGACTTCAAATTTCGCGCTTTTCCGCACAACGCACTTTTTTTTTTTTTTTTGGTCGTTGTCAAGGGGTGCACGCCGTGCCGGCTTTTCCTAACGTCGCAAATAACCAACATGGCGGCACACTCTGCTATGGTGGCTAGAATTGGGAGGTGACGCCAGCGCCCGCATATTCGCCGAGCGCGCGCGATCCTCGTTTTCAAGCGCCGCCGCGACGGCCACCACGGCGCTCCTGTCGGCATAGTGATGCGGGCGAAGCGCGCGCTCCGCGCTCTCTCGTCGACTCGCCGCTGGGTTCGCTGGTTCGCCTCTGGAAGCGTGTCTGGGTGTGTGCAGTTTTCCGCGTTGATGTCTCGCTTATGGCAAAATGTATTTAGTTGCTGACATGACAGTGCGAGTGCCGACCTTAGGATGAACTCCAGCACTACGAAAGCGAGGCAACGCCACTGCTTTGCTCCTGGCTGCACGAGCGGCTATGTGTCATCGAGGGAGCAAGGTCAGCGTGCTTCTTTTTTCTCTGTTCCCAAAGACCCTGCCCTCTTCGAAGCCTGGCAACGAGCCGTACCCCGTGCCGACAAGTCGTTGGACGTGAAGTCGGCGCTATGTGAGCTTCATTTCGACGAGCAGTTTATTGAGCGTTTTTACACGCATGTGATAAACGGCGAAACTGTTCAGATTCCCCGAGGGAAACCGGTGCTGAAATCTGACGCGGTGCCAACCATATTCCCAAATGTTCCTGCGTGTCTTTCAAAGAAAGTGCCGAAGAAAAGGACGTCAAGAACATCCACTTGCGGCCTACCATCGAAAATTCGGCGTCAGGAACCAAGCACGTCTGCTTGCGAGGAGACAGCTGGCTCGTACAGCACAGAAAGCGACAGTAACCAAATACCTGTTCCGAATGTGCCCGCAATTCCCGACGTCCGCAAGTGTGGTCTTCCCAGCGCTTACTGGGCTCGACATCTAATTGCTGGAGCCGACAACGCCACGGTGTTTACAGTTTGCGCACTAGATGGTGACAAGTTGACTATTGACAAGTATGTGCTAATGACATCAAATGAAAACAAACTTCAAGCGACAGCTTTTGTGCAAGCCACAAAAATAAAGACCCTTGACATTACCGACATCGAAATGGCAGAAGAGTTGCTTCGCGACGTCGACTCCATGATACCATGCAGAGGGTTTGGTAAAACTGGTGAATTTGGAGTGAATTTAAAGTACAAGGAGAAGACTTTTGATGGCAGAACCTTCAGCCCATCTTGCCGTGGGGTTGCTCCAACGCCAGAAAAAGCCTGCCCACAATCCAAGCACCTCAGAAGACTACTTCTGAATCGTGAGTCCTACAGGCGAAGAAAAGGCAAAAATGTGGCCCAGTCCCAAAAGCTTTCATACAGGCTTAAGCTGCGAACAGCGCAAGCGAAAAGGAGTCGCCTGAGTGTCCTGCAGGCTAAATCACTCATCAAACAAATGAAAGAAAAGAATGCACGGAATGATTCTACAGCATTTGAAGAAGCGGTGAAGGCCCTACCCATTAAGCAGCAGCAACAAGTCAAGGCGTGCTTTGCTGCGGCTAAAAGAAAATCCACGAAAGGGATGAAGTATGAAAGTGAATGGGCTCTAGAGTGCCTTATTATGTCCATGAAAAGCCCACGCTTCTATGAGCATATACGCAAAAACAACATCATGGCGTTGCCTTCTCGAACATCACTACGTCGATATCTCAAGCGTTACAGGAGTGGATTCGGCCTGAGCGAAAAAGTGTTTGCTGCTGTGGCGGAAAAAACAAAATCTATGGACTTGTTCCAGCGCCATGGTGGGCTGTTAATTGATGAGATTAAGCTATCTGAACACTTGAGCTTGGGAACCGATGGCACCATCGAAGGTTTTGTGGACTTTGGGAAGTTCACACCAGAGAGTGAGCGCTCCGTAGCATGTGACCATGGCCTTGTAGTATTGTTCGTGCCTTTTACAGGCACGTGGCACCAGATTATTGGTGTGTTCGCATCACGCAGCAATGTGAAGTCCGAGACGTTAGGCAAAATAATCCTCGAAGCAGTAGTCATGAGCGAAAACGCCGGTCTGCACGTAGACTTTATCACCACTGATGGAGCTGCGTGGAACAGAAGCATGTGGCACTCATTCGGCATACACGGCAGGAAAGAAAACACAGTATGTAGAAGGCAGCACCCTACAGACCCAGAACGTTTTCTGCACTTCATCTCGGACTTCCCACACCTTCTTAAATGTGTGAGGAACACCTTTGCTCGAACGGGCGTGAAACTGCCAGAAGGCCATGCCAGTGTTGACCCTATTGACTGTGCCCGGAAGCTTGATGAACAGCATGACACGACTCTCAAAGCCATGCCTCATATTAGCAAATCGGTTGTGCATCCCAATGGCTTTGAGAAAATGAGGGTAAATTATGCAGTGCGGCTTTACAGTGATGAAGTCCTCAGAGGCATTTTCTTGTACAATGCAACCATCGAAGAAAAGCATGGGAGCACAGCGGCGACAGTCAGCTTTGTGGAAAGAATGAGAAGGCTCATTGAGGCCATGACTTCAAGGTGCAGTTCGGGTGCACTTAAGCCTGGAGGGATGCACGAGAAGTGCATTCAAAACTTCTTGACTTACCTGGACGATTGAGAAACAGCTGCTGGCTCCGGAGGTTTCCTAAGCCGCAGTACAGCCGAGGGGCTTCGTGTTACCTTATCAAGCACGCTACACCTTCTCCGCTACCTGACGATGAAGTTGAACTTCAGCTATATGATGACATGCCGCTTGAGTCAGGACCCCCTGGAGAGGCTGTTTGGAATCGTCCGACAAATGTCTGGATGCAATGATCATCCGACTGCCTCCCAGTTCCTAATCTCGGTCAACACTTTGAGCTTCCAGAATTTGGCAAAACCACCGAAAGGAAGCAATGTGTCCTCAGGACTGCTGAGAAGTCTGCTGGGAGCTGACAACGGAAAGGACCTCACTCCTCGGAGGAAATTAGACGAGCTTCTTGACGTAGGAAACCTTGCCGAAGCACATGAAGTGCTCAATGAATACGGCCACGGCACCGAGCATGCAGACATGGTCGTGCAAGCAGCGATGCCAGACTCATATTCTACATGGCTGGATATGTGGCAAGAAAAAGCGTTGCAAGCACCAAATGTGCAGAGTGCAGCCAGCAGCTCCTACAAGGCGAGAACGATCCATCTCCAGCTGCAGCATCCCTCACGGCTGCTGTTGACCGAGGAGGCCTGCTGTACCCATCAGTCAAGCTCAATGAACTCGTGACCACTCTCGAGAACACTTTTACCCACTGCTTCAGTGTTACAGAAGTCAAACCTGACAGCATCATGGACTTGGTTTCCTTCTTGCAGTTAAGAAAGCTTACACTTGTTGGCTGCCCTGACCACAGTATGTCCCTCACAAACAAAATTATCAAGTTTTATGTTCTTACTAGGCTCCACTTTCATGTGAAAGCCCAGAACAGCAAACGAAACGCTAAGCAGGAAAGAATGAAATTGCTGAAGCTTAGACGCGTGCTCTGAGTTTGATATTGTAACTTTAAGCTCTCTTGATTTTTTTTTTGCCGAGTGGAAAGTGATTGTATGCCTCTTATTACTTAGTGCCAAGCGATGCGCTGTCTGTGTGCAATGTTTCAATGTTTTTAACTACTCCCGAGCGTATGTAAATGTGCGTATTTTTCATTTTATTTTATTTTACCCTGTATTCCATGATGTGCAATAGATCTTCCTAATAATATGATGTGCAATAAATATTTGTTTTATTTTCCTCGCCCAGAACTTTGGTAATATTTTTTTTAAAAAAAAACGCCGTCGCCTTGCACTCCAAAACACTGCAGGGATATGCGAACGAAAGCTTTAATTTGCGCAGATTCAACGTCACAGAAGTCTTGCAGCGGCAGCCAATTTCTTTTAATGCTTGAAATGGCGTTCTATCAGCCATCGTCACAGTGAGTTATCTGAATCGCCAATTTATCTGAATCATGCTTCAGCAACAGCATCTTTGAAAGGTCCGCGCGCTCAAGGCGCGCGCGCGTAACTAGCATCACCATTCCGCCGACAGCGCCACCGCCGCGCTGCTCGAAACGAAGGAGCGGCTCCGAGCTCCCGTTGGCGTCACCTCCCAATTCTAGCCACCATAACTCTGCTTTGACTCCCGCGTTGGACGCCGCATCGGTGTTGCCGCTGCTTTCTTGATCAAGTTGTGCCTAGTACGTATTCCTCGCTAGCGCCCATGTTTCTAACAATACTGCTGTGGGAGTCGCGTTCATTAATGTAACTCTCGTGTCGGAGCAGCGCGCGCGATAAAAGAGGATGAACGCGTTGCCGCAGACTCCGGTTTTCTTTCTTTTTTATTTCGTGTCTTCGCGCGCTCATCGGCGCGGTTTATTTTACTTCTTTGTCTGGCCAAGATGTCCGAACACTTGACGCCGCGAAAGTGGTCGTAGCCGACGCAACGCACGGAGTGCCGCGAACGCGACAAACAAAAACGCGGCCACCGCCGCGCTTTTTATGGGTATTGGTCGCAAAGCTGGCCTGTCAAAAGGCGCTGCTTTTCTGTTTTTACATTGATTTGCTTGCATCTGTTTCTTTCTTTGTTTTTTAATTATTATAGTCACTAAACGTGGTGATGCTAACACGTATTTCGCCATTGCATCTCTGTGTGCGCATTTCGAGGGCCCGAACTTGTTGGTTCTTTGACCTTCTCGGGCGTTGACGAACTGGTGCCAAGACAATGCGCCCAACATCACGTACATTTGTGTCGCTCCCTGTGGAACAGGCCCGCGACTGAGAAGCCTGTGGCCTCAAATCCCTGGCTCCGTTCACTTGAGCGGCCTTTGCTTTGACCGTTGACCAGTGCTGCTGGCGTTTTAGACGGGCGCCCTTGTTTTTTAGATCTCTCTGAACGTGCAGCACCGGTCCGCGCCGTGTTGTAGAACTGTCACCAAACCAATACTCGGCGAACTCCCTTCTTTGCTCTGCAGCAGCTTTGAAAGTGCAGTCACTGAACTGTGTGGTCTCGCATCACACTACTGTGTACCAAAGGGTGCGCACGAAACTTTTTCTACAGTGTGTTCACATTTAGGAGAGCTACTGTATAATCATGCCCAATACAGACACCCCAAAAACATAAGAAACCGTCCTGCATACTGAAAAAACGTTAATGGAACTGCAGAAAGTGTGGTTCTGCCCAAGGAAAGCCCTCAACATAGCTGTTATGGAATACGGGCCACCAACTGTGGTCCAGAGGACTGTGAATTAGTGATCGCTTGACGGGTCAAATTCAGTGCTGCAAAACTATGTGTCATGTTCTATAAGTGTGTGTCTGCCTGCTATCTTCAAACACATGTGCTGATAAAACACCATGGGGCTGTGTAAAATTTATTTTTACCATTCGAAGAAAATGTTATAAAAGTGAGTGTAATAATTTTCGAACACTTCTCTGGTTTCAAACACTGTGTGATCTGATCTTATAGCCCCTGTGCTGCATACAGCAACGATAACTTCTTATAAGCAACCATTGAAAGGTTTCGAAAAATCTTGTAACTGCTTTCTTAGCACTCATGTGATCATTTACTGTATTTTTATTTTTGGTTTGAGGGCGATCCTTGGGTTGCTTAGGTAGCAGACAGGAGATGTCTCCTTATCTGATAAACTATGCACCATTGTGGCTGAAGGCGTGGTCTCCTTACAGAGGACGAAGTATTTTTATGTCCGTGTGCATTGATAAAGGCAACGTACGGCAAGGTCTGGGATGTATGTGGCTGTCTCCAAACCGCTTTGAGCTACGATGTTCAGGCAGTGTTGTGCTTGCTTTATTGCTCTTTCAACAGTAGTTTGACGAAATTATGAATTGTGAACATTGAAAGAGGGGTATTCTTGCTTTTGTGAGATTGCAAGACACAAAGAACTATCAGACAGCCAAGTGAACATTGAACTGTCTTGGTTTACTGTGATGCACATTCATAACATCACTTTTTTGTGGTTGTTCATATGACTGACTGTATGTCTTAATGGGAGAAGATTCATTGCTATTTTGTTGCTGCCTTTGAATATAACTGTTACATGTGGACAGTATGACAAGAGTTAGCTTCCATAGGTGTGAAGTGATGGCAGCTTGTTCATGTTCCCCTCATTGGACAGACTGCAGAATATTTACCCAAATATTTTATCGTTAGAATGCAAAGCACACGGAGAACGAATAATTCAGAAAATCTCCTAGGGAGATGACTGACTGACATATTTCTGGCAGTGTAGACAATCATTGTGCCCTGGCAATCAGCTGATACAAAGAAAACAGGAATTCAATATACAGAAGTCGGTAATGTGGACTACATAATGTCGGTAGTTAAACTTTGTGCCATGGTTTTAACAATGGGTGGAACGGAGTTTTACAGGAAAATTGAACTTGTAAAGGTAAAGGAATAAGGTTGAGTTGTCTGTTGGAATTTTTTCACACGTTAAATGCGCAGTGCTCACAGAATGAATTGCGACGTGAAAATGTCAAGCATAACAGTCATTCACTATGGCTTAGGTTATCCACATGGTGTCACTATAAATCTGGCTGCTAAACATAATCTCGCCTGTGATCCAGTGTGCGAGACAATAAGCTGATGCCAGACGAACTGTAGACGAGAGAAACGAAAGTATGCGTGTTACTGTGAGCTCACCTGCTTCATTCTATCAGTGCTGTGTGTGCACACATGCATGTCTACAAACACACACAAGATATACGACCCTCTCTTCTGAAACAAAATGCTGGCTGTACCCTTGTTGATGAAAAAAGAGAGGTCAGGGTTATTGGGGCTAACACTGATGAAAGCGAAGCTGCACTCACCTACGACTTCAAGGCAGTTTTGCCCACAGAACTGTGATGCATCTCCCCTCAACCTGTAAAGGACAGGAGTTCTAGCTGGTTTCCACTCATACAGTAATAATTTTCTTGGCTAATGTAAACACTGTGCACCGTAAGAGCTAAATGTCATTGCTACGAAAAGCAGTTTGGCGGAGCAGCAACGTCATAATCCCTTACGAAGTTTACTAAAACGCTCGAGTTTCTGACCTTTGACCAGCGACACAAACATTGGTTTGTATGGGGAAGTAGGCTCTCGGAAAGTTCGAGAAATGTTTGATGTCCTGAAGAGTGAGCTCTGTTGGATGGGGCACTTACGTAAATTCTTTTCAGAAGGGTTAGCGACGGCTGTCCGCCGACTGGACACAGGTTATAACTAGGTATCGTGTTGGGTTGTTTCTTAGTCACATTCTGCAGGCCATGGCAGGAGACTGTGCTTTTCTTTTCTCGTAGGAGGGCACACGGGACTGGCAGGATGCCCAAGCGGGCACGCACAAAGAACAACGGTGAGGCAGCGCCGCCTCCACGAGCCTCGCCGCGGGTGGCCAAGCGGCAAATGTTGAGCGAGCAGTCGTCCGACGAAAACCACACGATGGTGCGCAAGTGTGAGAAAGTGAGCTGCCAGGAAACTCGGCCCACCTGCTTTGCACGCACGTCCAAGAGGCAAGTGCTCTCCTCATTCATTAACACGAATTATAAAATGATTATAATTTTACAATGATTTTAAAAGGCAGGGCGTGCAAACACAAGCAGTCAAGATGCCACGAATGCCTAGTAAAGGCCAACTGCAATGAAATTTTACAAGGGCAAAATTGGCTCGGAATGCATAATATAGGTAAACAATGATAATGAAAGTGTAAAAGCTTGCAATCGCGTATTTCATTTATAATCGGTGCTCTAACTGTCAGCTAACAGATGACATGGAACTCTAGCGGTGTGCCTGGGCAAATCGGACACAAACAGAAATGGCGTCAATTACTGCTCACCACCGCTCGTGAGCAGACCTCCCTACAACCGCATCCATTCTTTTTCTGCATCACGCGCTTCTACAAGTGGATAGTTCGGAGGACTGAATGGTTTTGTTGTACGAAAGGTGGGGCTGTAGGCTGCTGGAACACATGTTATGGCCGGAGGCCAGCTTTCACGCTTTTTTGAAAAACATGAAGCTCCAAAAGATGCGGGTTGTCGGAGTGAGGTGAAAGGAATGACATGTATCAAAGAGCATGGTGTTTTACACAGCGCACTTCAAAGATTAATATAAGCACGTCTGATGTGTCTCTGCCCAAATACTGTCGAAACTGAAAAGACGTTAAATCCTGACGCAGTGCCTTCAAGATTTAGCCACTGCAAACACAACAGCAGCAAGTCCCAACCGTAGTTTGGAGAAGCGCTGGAGACGACATGTATTCGTATTAGGCAGCTTTAGTATGGCAAAAAATGCCTGCGTTAGCTCATTACGTTCACTAAATTACAGCGTAATGCTACTCCAAGGACAAAACCTGTGTAATGATTACGCATGAAGTGCTACACTCACTGCGCCATCTATGATAGTGTAATCAAAGCTCCAAAAGCTGATCGGCTCGCTTCTATTTGCGAGCAGTTAAAGCGGGGAAGCTCAACAGAAATGTTATTGTGCTGAGTTCGAAGCGATTTTTAAGCCTATAAATGTATTATAAGAAAACAAAATTGTGCTACGATAGGTTTAATGTAATCTTTAGGGTGCAGTCAGACAAGTGTTCAAGAGAAACGCAGGGATGCTTTTGCTAGACATGGGTGTGTGAAACAAATCATCGGTATTGAAAACAACGCCGTCTTACCATCCGTAGTCTATTAACAAAGCAAGAATATTTGAAGCATAAACGTGCGGTATCATTCATTGTGAACCAGTGACTTCACCAAGACAACAAGAAAAAAACGGTAGGCGGAAGCAGGTATCTGTTATTTAGATGCGTGCTTTAACGAGCTTTTCACAGTTATGTATCCTTCACTGTGCATGTTTACATAGTTTTTTTTTTTTTTCGTTAATATTTAAAGAGGAAATGCAGAGGTGCAGCCACGAAGTGCATACTTCGGAACACAGAGCAGACGATTCGCCTGCAGTCGGTCTGTTGAGCGGCTGTCTAGCTAACTTCCAGTCAGCTGTAAGGGCGTCATTTTTTGTAGTTTCGGTATCGAAAATTGTGTTGTTGGTGAGCGTTTTTATTTGGTAACTATTTGCATTTCGAAAGTGAAATTTGGTAGGCAGCATTGTCTCCAGCTACACTGCCTATAAATCAGCTTTTTGGGGTGTGCACGATTTTGTTGTGGTTGGCCTTTAACAATTGAATAGGCGCACTGTGGCAGAAAAAAGAAAGTCACAAAAACTTCCGTGCTCATGCCTGTGCAATAAGTGAACCTCTCAATCTGACACAAGTGGGGATCTACGTTCAAGATAACTGGCATTTGATTTTGTCTTTACGGAAGTCAATTAACGGTTGAATAATGCATGTTCTACGCATGTAGAGCATGCACGACATTTAAAGCATGCACAAGTCTGTTATCGGTATGCCAACCAAGTGATATCGATATGCTGAGCTTCGGTCATCAGATGTATTTCTTCACTTCTCTGCCGACACAAAACTGCACATTCATGAAATTTCGGTGTGCACTTACACTCTCAGCAGTCTAAAGATTGATTAAAAGGTTAGCGATCTCTTGTGTTAAAAAAAGGTGTGTACCTTGGTCTTTCTTTTCAGCCCTCGTGCACCTGATCAGTTGTTTATGGCATCTTTTTTGTGCCCATGTTTGCACACCCTATAATTACGTACTCCAACTATTGTTCTTTGTCCACCTCAGTGGTGTAGTGGTTTAAGTGCTTGGCTGTCGAGGGGGTAGCATTCGGATGAAGGTGAAAGGCCAGAGGCTTTTGTTTCATGCAATGTCAGTGCACATTAAAAAACATCACATGGTCCGAATTTCTGGAGCCTTTACTACAACACCCCTCAGAATCATATCCTGGTTTTCGCACATAAAACCCCATATATTGTTTATTACAGTGGTGAGAAACCTACGCCAATTGCCCCAACGGTAAAAACTGCGCCATACAGCTCCGAAATCATTTTTTGTCAGATTGTGCCATTGCTGCGCCACAAGGTAGTTTTGGAACCGAAAGTAATGTTGACACCACATATAGTGAGCAAATATTACATGATCGTCATCATCTTGTACACTTGTGCTGCTGCAGAAGCACCGAATTGGCGGATTAATTATTAGAACTTCCGCGGTGGTGACTTATGTGGTAATTATTGGGGAAGAACGATGGCAATGTGGGGACTACCGAAAACCGCGCCAGTAGAACTTATCGCGGATAAAAAGCCTACGTGTGGGGCGTAGGGACGCTTTAAACCCACTGTACGCTTTTAATAGCGGGCAACTACCTGAGAGCACTGAGGCACCAACGCTGCTGCCTCAATCGTTGTGCGAGATTGTGTTCTGGGTTCACCGCTTTGCAGAAGCGAAAGCAGCTCACTCTTGCGGAGTTGAGCATTGTGGATTGCAGGCATTGATGGCGAGCGAGCAAGCGTAGCACACGCTTTCATGTGGCGACAGCTCAAACGCACTGCCGTCCGCTGCAAAAACTGCTGAAGCATCGCTTGCAGAAAGCTCGCATCGTCGCATAAACACAATGTGCTTCTCTCCACATCTGTGCACGGTGTGAAGCAGAGTGTGTACGCCCAGTAGGCGAAGTGCTGCATGCAAGTAGCCAGTGGATGATCGGCTCCCTGCGACCGTACGGCGTCTAAAAATCTGCCAGTTTTCAGTAAGTAGCAGACTGTGACACACGTTTATCACGGACAGCCGAGTATGTCTGTTTCATCACTATGTCAATAGCTGTGTGGACTGCGTATCTTGGACTCTGCAGTAGCTTCAAAATGGTCTTTGGTGTCGCTGCCGCGTGCCGTCAAACTGTCGTGCAAGAATGCCAATCATTTCTGAACATTGGGAAAAGGAAAAAAATGGCTTCATGGTTGGCACTCTAGGCGATATTTGCTGTGGCACTCTATTTTTCCTTCTTCAGCCGAGATGGCTCACCTAAAGAAATGTAAATTGGTACTTGGTTATAGGCGTGCACACGAGGGGGCGCACGGGGGGCGAAAGAGGGCGTAACGTCAGCTGTATACACATAGACATGGCAGGAAGGCAGTGCGACAAACCATAACCCTCTCCCCTTGAAAGGAAACCTTGCGCACACCTATGTACTTGGTGGTTAATGCATACTTCATTTAGTGCGCAGTTAGCTGCATTCCCGGCAGGTTGTTGGCATGCATGTACATATTAATGAGGTTTTACTGTAGTGAGCCTTGAATGTGTGTGTGCGCAGTGCTATGAGCTTTATGCTGCAGCGAGCTTGTTGGTGCAATATCTTTCGCCATCTTAGTCACCGCTTGTGTACACAATCTTACTTGTGTACATACTCGTACATATGTTTATTTTTGTGCTTATTTCATGAGCTTGCAGCTTTTGTATGAATGATTGCTCTTTGAAGGAAAGTTAAACTCAATTGAAGCTAAATTTTCTTCCTCTATGTGTGTAAAGCCCGTGTGGGCTCTAAACACAGACATAGCTGCTCTGAAAGCAGGTTTTGCCTGCTCCAATGGGTGCTCCAAAGTTCTGAAAGGCATTCCCACAACTGACTGCTATTATTACTATTATTATTAATATAATATTATTATTACTGCATTTTAGCGTCGCTTATTCACCATCTGTATGGAGTGCTTTGGTGGAATTTTTATTTTTGCACTTGCTCTATATTCACACCTGCTCCTCTTAATTTTCTGCAGACCAGTGGTGAAAGTGGGGCTTGTTCTATTTATGTAGCACACAGGGATCAGGCATTTTTGTGTGGACGGGATGCGCAAATTTTCATTTTGCCTAGCCATATACAATTTCCCTTGAAAGACAATCATGACAGCGAAATTGGGGAAAGGAAATAGTCCAATTTAAGTACTGTCTTGTCATGAAGTTAAAAGACATGATTAATCCCTCTGTCATGGAAATAACGTAACACAAAAGTGAGAAATATTCTTACAGAAGACGTAGTTCAGTGTTTGTGGCCCATTGAACAGAGCTTGCACAATGCCTATTATTGTTTAGCAGCTGTAGCACTGTTTGGCATGGATTCACCACCATCCCAGTGACTTGCTTCAACGATAAATGATTAAACAAACCCTTGTGGTAGCAGTAGTAGTGAGGGCGAATGCAGTACAACAGCCAGAGAAACATTGCTGATTCGATGCATAACTAATGCGAAGGTCGTCTATCCGCAACATTTGATTAAGTTACAGTAAAACCTCGTTAATTCGAAGCCACTGGGGCCACGAGAAATCTTCAAATTAAACAGGTTTTCAAATTAACAGAACATACAAAAACTGGGATGCAAGGAACTTCAAATCATTCCAGGTAATCGGGGCTGATTTGCTGTGGTAGCAAGCAATACCTGGTCTTAATTTAGCTTAAACACGGAGGAACGGAGGGCTTTACTGCTGCCACAGAAAAAAAAAAGAAAAGAACAAAACACTGTCGTGATCAACTGAAATGCGCGCCAGTGCAAAACAAGACGTACTTCGCTGCAGCATAGTAGTGACGCGGGCAGCATGTTGCCGTTCCTCGCTGCGTCAGCCCAT